ATACACTTAGAAATTTAGCAATTACTAGTATATAGTTTTCTTGAGTGTTCAGGCCTTGTTGACTTTTTTCAACCTCAATAAAAGTATCTCTAGATGCTCTTAAAGCAAGAATTAGGCTCCGGTAGGGATTAAGGAGTAGGAGCATAATACTGCAATCTCCTGATTTACTAAGGTGGTTTTAAATATTAAACGCATGAAAAAAGACAGTATACTCAAATTTGTGATCTCAAACAAATGCTAAGAAATCTAAATGAACATGATTAAAGATGCCGATTGATAGGTTACACCCCTTCTCCTTATCCAACATAGTTTGCTGTACATACAGCCTTTGCAGGTTCCTGAAAGCAATGATATGATGCAGAAAGTAACTGTTTAACTGCTTCAAGATTTTGTTAATGGAGAAACGATTTCACTTTCAACCCATAACAAAGGGTAATACTAGCAGCAATATAAAAGGGAAAAAAAGCAAGCTATAATTGTCTCCCCAGAAATAAACCACTAACATCTTCCCTATTTAAGAAATCAAGAGGGAAGTTAGCATTTCTCTGCTATTTAATTTTCCAGGAATCACTTAAATCGCTTGAGTTTCTTTTCATCATTACACCACACTGGTTGATCACCAGTGTCTTTTCCAGTGTAAATTATGTGATTTTAATTCCTTAGATTTTGTCAGCCAAATACTCTTCAGCTTGAACCCCAGAAAGACATCTGATGAAGAATTAGTATTTAGAAATGACCATGGAAAACATAAGTTTCTGTAAGGCATTATTTGATACAAGTTCTCATGTTTGAGTAATTTTACATTTGGGAGCCTATTTTTTTCCATAGGTAAGGCTGGCAATTCTCTGGGAAGAGTTCATTAAATTTCTCTCTGATGAGCTAACATCCAGAAAGAGTAATTACTGTAAGTTTTACCCTTTCAATGGACCAAGTATCTAGTTGGAGTTATCTTGTGTTTTATGCCAGCAAGGTTCTTAGTGGCTCCTCTTCTATTTTGGATAGCATGAAAACAGAGATGTCAACTGTATATTTCCTCATGCTCATCAGTGCTGTATCTCTTTCAGGAGCTCTCAAACATTTTTTCCCCCAAGAAAGCAGAAATTATTCCTTTGCTTATTTTATATTCTGGGTTACAGTCAGAGTGAGTCTTCACAGAACAAACCACAATGAAATCATGGTGTGCCCATAAAAGATGCACTTGCTGGTTTCACTGCTTCTTTTTTGGCACATTATTGCTTGGCTATACTTTCATAGGCAACAGTCTTTATTCTTATGATTAGGATCTTAGATATCTGGGTCTTAAAAAGACTTGGGAATAATGTCATGTGGCACCATCTGGTCCTCAGAATCATTTCACCAGGTCCCATGGTTATGTAAACGTCTTTGTAATGATCATTACCTTGATTTTCCCAATAGCCAGAAGGAATGTTGCAGGGTTTGTTGCTGTATCTATATACACATATGCACAGATGTACTGGATTTACTTTGAGAGAGGTTATTTGGTTGTGGCAAGTGAGTAGTTTAGCTGGTGAGTGTTCGCAGTTAAAAGTAGCTGTAATGACCTCTGGCAGATGTTACTGATTCCTTGTGGGACAGAATTTTTCCACTCCATCTTCATTTATATCCTTGGCCATTGCAAACGGAGCTTATTTGATTTCTGTAGTCAAGGTGTTTTTTTTCCCTTTCTTTTTATTTTCCTAAGAGTAAGATAAAGTTCATGGAAATCTGTTTCAGTATTTACAAAAAAATGGTATTTTCCAAAAATGGTTTAGTTGTCCTCAAGTTCATGAGTCGGCACAGATGATATTTCTATCATCCTGTGGTAGAATTTTTAGTAAAAAGAATAGAGTTACAGGCTAGACAGCAGAGAACATAAATTGCTGTTATTTGCAGGTGGCCACAGCAAACTAAAAGGACCACAAATGACATCAGCATCAGGAAACGCTGGTGAACAGAACAAAATATATTCAGTTGTAGGGGTGAAACAGCAAATATTAAAGCAGACAGGGAAAGACTTCTGATTCCCTGTGTGAAAACACCAGGCGTAGGCTGAGATGGTCAGCTTAGTTATCTGAGGAAGTGCTGAGCTCATTGTGTTATTATCACAGAGGGAAATTCACAGGCTTCGTTTCTCAAACACCACTTGGGACAAAGCAGGCGGAAGCAAACAGCCTTGTCTCCACAGCAGCATTGTAGATAATTAGCAAATCAGGCAGGTAGAGGTCTACAAAAGGCTATGGTTGTCCAATTTGCAATAAGAACATGAAAACCTTATCCGAATGCATTTGTTTTTCTTTATACTGGTGCCAAAAAAGTTGGCTATAGATAAAGGTGAATTATGTGGTTGTAGAAATGAGCACTTAAAAAACAAGCCACAGGCACAATATGTAGAATGAAAAGAGGATGTTACTCTCTCACAAGGAATACAGCAAAGGCTAGATTCACATGAACAGCACACTCCTATAGGTCCTCTGTAAACAAAATTTTAAGTCATAGTGTGTCTTATTCTTGGTGTGTTATATACAAATATCCGCAGGACAAAAAGAGTTCCCGAAAGGAGAGAAGAAACATCGAAGTAATCTAGGAACAATAGATGTGGAATTCAACCAATAGCACTTTTCTCCTCTGCTTTCTATGTTCAGACAGCAAGCTCCTATTAAGGATCCAACCTAGAGGCATATGAGACACAAGAATACTGGGTATGACACAATTTCGTTTTGATGTAACACCTGGAATGCAATGAATATTGGCATCGAAGATCATGCATGTTAGACAACTATCAAGATTAAAAAATTATCAAAGATACAATTATATTCAATATAGCTGACCTTAAGGTAAGAAAACATACTAATACATTTTTATAAATATTTGCTTTGGGACATACACAAAATATAGATTTCTGGTTAATATTGACTTCACAGAATGTCCAATTTATGCCATTGATCCAAAACAGTATATTTGATTCGCATTTTACTATATGTTACTGTGGTTGGTTTGTGGCATCAAAGCCCAATAATCAAAAGAGACATAACAAGAAAAGCATTCAAGATAAACATATGACGATTGTGGCCATGCTTGTTTCTTGTCAGAAAACAGAACAACTCAAATTAAAATTTCTCATGTTTATTTGGTGAACACGGAATAGCATGGTCACACTTTAAATGTTGAATAATCTCCCGATACTGGATTCCAACTCTTTTCTTTTATTATTGGGTTTAAGAAATATTTTCAATTTCTTGCTTTAAGAAAATATTTCCCATTCGTACTTCAAGAACTGAGTTGTGTTAAAAACATCCAAATCGTACGTTTAAGAAAATACCAAGGACAAGCCCCATGTTCAACCCAGGTAAAACATGGTGTACATAAATTCAGTGTGTTTAGGAAAGCTATTTTGCAACTTCTTTTGTTGAAGGAATACAGGACAGCTCAAATGAAGCGCTAATGTGCAAGGATGAGTGGGAAGAAGAAATTTCAAGCATGGTTTCATTGACAGAGAGTAACTTAGGGTAGATACCATAATGTAAAATCACTGTCTTGAATAGGTTCCTATCTATTCAACCATTTCATGATGTATTGCTGCTTCTGTTTCTAAAAACTGTTCTGTATGACTTAAGCAGTAACAAAGCAAGAAAGGTCTTGTAGAATTCTAGAATTTAGTTCTAGGACCAAACAAAATCAAACTTATTACGTTAAGCATTTTTGCTTAAAACTTTTAATTTGAGAGGTCCAACTACAAAACAAGCAGGGCTGATCAATTTGTCCACAATCCTCTTAAGCCTTCACTGCCCTCTAACCATTGAAGACGATTATTGTCTGATGCGTAAATTCTTTCTCATCTTTCCCACTTTAAGGAAGTAATTAGCTAATTAGTTGCAGATCACTCTTCTCCTGGATAGGAGTGAGGCTCAACTGAGGCAGGTGTCTTTCATCAAGGGACTTTCCAGTCACCCTAGCTCAAAATTATAAGGTCATAAAGACCTGGGGTTTAAACTCCGGGCCTCTCACTCTTACCTGGCTTTTTTGCTCAAAGCTCATGCTCTAGCACTTGAGCCACACACCTCTACTTTCTCATCCCTCCTATTTTAATACAGGAAGAGCCTGTTTTAGCCACATCCTAGGAGAGGACCACCTCTGGCCCACCATCTGAGTAGACCCTGCTTCTGTGAACACAGGTATTCTCTATGTATACACAACATGGATGCTACTGAGTGACTCAGCCAGTGAGTGACGGGAGAGATGAAGGCATCTGACACAAATGGGTACTTAGCCAAAAGAGAGAGCTTCAGACTAAATCTCTAATCATTAATAGCAATCTGATTGGTAATTTGATGATAATTTCTACTTTAGATAGCATTCTTAATAGATGCCAATTAGAAGGAAACTGAAAAAATGTGTCTTATTAAAAAAATCATTAAGAATTCCAAGTATAGCAACTGTAATTACCATTCTCAGGCAATGCTGTCTCCTTATGCACGCTGCTTATACAGTTAAATTGATTTGAAAGAAATCAGACTCCCTTGCTAATCCAGGTTGTACCCAGTATAGCTGTGGTATGAAAGTTTAGACATTATATTTTCCCCACATATGTTCAGAATCTGCAAATTCATATACATCACACAAAAACACAAAACTGAAGACAGTGTAGCTTGACTGTGCCAAGAGGACTTGAGTCCTCAAAGAAAACATAGACAGATACTCTTTTTGGACTTTACAGGAGAATGAGTTTAGAGAAGACAATGAACACTCCAACATCTAACAGTCTGATCTTTTAATGGCGCTCTATCCCTGCAATGAATCTGGGTAGCTCTGCCCAGTGCTATGGAGGAAACCCCTGTGGTCTGGGACTAACCTGTCTTCAAGAGAGGAGAGAGTGCTGGCAGGTTGTCGGTTGTCTAGGGACTGTCCACCACCAATCAAACCATGAGCTCATAAAGACCTCTTTGACTGGGTCTGAAAGTTGAGATTTGATGGTATTTCTCTTAAAATAAATGTTTTCAGAATTTTTTTTTTTTGCTCCAGATCCTAAATGTTAGCAATGAGTCTACACATAAGGAAGAAATTCATGTGTTCAATTTGGTGCTGTCCAGATTTGCTATCAAATGCTAGTAAACTAAATCAAAAGATGAACACAATTTTTTTGTGGTTTACAGCAAGATTAAATATACTGTGTTTGTTACTCATGAAAGTTTCCTTTGAGCAGTATGGGGGGGTGGGGATACACAACAAAACAAGTATTTGGTAATGTGCTAGGTGTAATTCCTTACCAGGACCTTAGTAACTGGTTTCAGGAGAATATTACTCCACACCTGTGTAACATAAAATATACCAATAATAATCTGTAATTCGATGACTTTTTAGGAACCCAGTTTCATATCTTTTCTCAAGGGTAAGAAAATATGAATTTAATTTGACTAGAATCACAGAGAAAAGATGTATATGTATAAATCTGTATTTGATATAGATGTTATTCATATTTGAAAGCTTGGCTAATTTTCCTAATTCAACCTTCTTGTGTTTATTCAGAGCTATACCAAGGTTTATATAAAAAGCACTTCTTTCAGATGTTAACAAATGCTAATTGATATGTGTTATATACAAATTTTAAGTGCTGTCATTCAAGATTATATCGCTTAGGAATGGGCTCAATTTGTTTCAATATTTTGCATTGTGACTCTTATTCTCTACTTAAATTTTCTGTGGTAACAACATTCTTATTTCAAAAGGGCTGGAAATCATAACAGTGCTTTTGCTAAGAGTGTTATTCCCTCCCCCCAATATAAAGCAGAGACTTTAATGGAAATACTATTACATGATAAATAGAGGCAGTAATACAAAAGGATACGTGTATATTGGTCATGTTATTCTTAGATGCAAAAAAAATCACATTTAAAAACCCAGGCAGATATTATTTCTACTCCATCAAGACTGCAAAACCTTCAGGGAAGATTGTCCCTTGTGTTCTTGCTTTCAAGTGGAAATGAATTTTTAATTTTTATTATTATTATTATTTTTTGGTATGGCACTTAAGTCAAGGGATCCAACAGTTTTTAATAGAATTTTCCTATAGGTCACACTTGCTTCATTCTCCTGTTTCCTCAGGAAAAGTAAAACGAAGTCAGCTTTGACAGACACATGTAAGAATACCATAAATGTATGCATGAATCCCCCTGTCCTCTCTCCATCCCCCCACCGCTGCTTTTAGTCCAGCACAGAAGAAGGGGCTGGGCGAACACAGCAGTTGGGGCGACGAAAATTCTGCAGCATGGACCGGAAGATATTATGCTGCCTTCCCTTGAGCTTTTTATTTGAAGAAGTATCAGAGGAAATGGATCTCCGGGTCTGGTCACTTTGTGTTTTGATTAATTTCTCGTGTTCCTTAATCTGCCTTTGTAAATGGTTCTGGATGGCGATTCCCAGGGACTCTGGGTCCAGAGAAGCACCGTACACCTCCCAGGTCATGCCCTGCTCATCCCACACCACGTCCTTCACACGCTTGGACTGCTTCAGCTGGACCTTGGAGTCCAGGCTCAGCTGCTTTTTCTTCTCTCCCGGGGTGAGCCCTACCTGAGCGGCCGCTGCGGTCACACTCAGCTCCTTGAGGAACTCACTGACCCGGCTGCCCCTGCGGGGACTGGCCTTCACTGACCGAGAAGGGGTCCTTTTGCCAGACCCTGGGCTGGAGTCCCCCAGGGAGTCGGGGGGTAGGCTCAGGCTGGCGGCTGGCCTGGCCTGTCTGGGGTCTTCTGATATGTTTTCTTGGGTCTTCCTTATTGGGGAGGGTTCTTTCTTATTAGCCGTGGACCCTGGGCCTGCATTCTCTTGAGGTTGAGGAGTGAGCAGTAAGGGTTTGGCCTCTGGAGTATTCATGTCTGCAGACTCTTGTTCTCTTCCTATCTGCAGTGTGGCCGGGGTCCCTTCCTTTGCACCTCCTTTCAGGATGGTGTCCAAGCTCCCTGCCTGGCCATCTCTGCTGGCGGGGGGACTACAGGAGATGGATGGTTGACCAGGCGGTTCTGTTTTGTGGTCATTTGTGGTTTTCATTCCAAATGCAGATTCCTGGGCTTCACAGGTGTCTGGTCCCTGATTGAGTCCATCTTGGGCGTTGGCACCAAGGGACATCTGGTTGACCAGGCTAGCTTTCTGAGAGCCGGAATGAGTCCCCACTAGCGGCGTGGAGGTTCGGTCTTGCCCCGCTGGAGTGATGCCCGCTGATCGTCCCTCTTCTTGATTACACCCATCCTGAGTCGGACTGGAGGCCACGCTGATGGATGGGGTTTTGAAGATGTCCCCTGCTGGGCTCGCTGGGTTGTGGTTTCCTTGGAAACCTGCAGAAGCAGCTGCGGGTTTGGCATGGGTGGGCAGCGGTGGCTCGATGGCAGGGCAGGGTCCCGGCGGCACCTGGGGGCCCAGGGTGCTGTGACAGAGCTCCAACACGTGGCTGCCACCGCCAGGGCCGTGGCAGATGACACTCAGCTGCTCCTGTGCTTCCAGATGCTCCAGGGCAGGGATCTCCTTTAAGAAGGCGGTGAGGATGCTGGGGCTGGTAGAGACCGACCTGCTCTCCACCAGGGCCACGGCCTGAACCTCAGCATCTTGCTGAGCCCTGCCGGGGACTTCCCTGGGCTCAGGATCAGCTTGGGTGGTCATCGTACTGGCTTCTCTGAACTTGGACACTCGATGCTGGGTGGGCTCAGTCTTAGAATCCTGAGGACATGGCGAATCTTCGCTAGTGAGCTGCGACAGTGGAGGTGTCTCAGCTGTGAAGCCTTGGCTCTCAGAGAGGGTGGCAGAGGGCTTTCTGGTCTCTGTAACTTCGCCCTCTCTTGTTGCAGGGTTACAGGGTGTCTTCATGGAACCAGAGACCTGCCTTGCCCCTTCCCGTGCACCTGTGGGAGAGGATGAATGACTCCACACCTGGGCCGGTGCATGCGGAGTGTGTACCCTTTCCTGGAGTTTATCTGGAGAAGGAAAATCACAAGATGCGATCTCTTTGTTGTTGCCACAGGTGTCGCCAGTAGGGAGACTTGAGTTCTCAGCTGGCTCTCTGTTGCTTGGTGGCGGTGTTGCACTGTTGTTCTCCGGTTGCTCCGTGGTGGTGCTCTGGGATTTCATGGAGGCATCTTTAGGGACCAGTGAGCCAGTGGCATTGGGCTGATCACCTAGGATGGCCTGGCCCGTGTGCTGATTGGCTGGCATTGTGGAGGTTGAGTGCCCCAAATCTTTTCCTACTGTAGATGTTGGGGATGGGGTGGTGGGCTTGCTGCTTCCTGGTAGCTGGGGGTCACTGGGAGAGTTGCAGGTGAGACATGCTTTCTCCAGCTGGTTGAACAAACCAGAAGACATGTCTGGCTGAGGGGTGTCATGCTCACAGGTTTGCATCAGGACCTCGGGGGCTGAGCCCAGGCTGAGGTGTGGTGTTGCTGGAGCTCCAGCAAGGCCATTGGCATTCTCATCCTGCGGAGAGGGGACGGCTTGTAATTCTCCTCCAGTCCCTTCTTTCCCAGCAGATGCAATCAGGGTGGTTTTAGTGGATCTCAGAGAGTCGGGAACAGTCCCCATCGAATTCCTCTCCTAGGACACGTCCGATCACTCCCTCCAAGGGTGTCTCCACTGGGCAGCCGTGTGAGCTCAGAGTGAACACAAGCACTAGCCTGGGGATGAAAGAGACAGTACCATTAATACGGCACCCCATGGAAGAATGAAGACCAGGCTGAGCTGCTATTTTTTTCTTAGCTCCTACAAGCACATTTGAATGTGTCTTCCCACATTTACAGAGGCAACATTGGGAAGGCAGATGTTCTAAAAAGAACTACACAAATACTATTCTGGTGTATTGGGTTCTGCTTGGGCTTTTCCTCCTCAAGGTTGGTGCTTTGCCACTTGGGGCATGCCTCCACTTTCATTTTTTGCTGGTTAATCAAAGACAAGTGTCTTATGGACTTTTTCTGTCTTAGCTGGCTTCAAATTGTGATCCTCAGATTTCAGTCTTCTGAGTAGCAAGGATTATAGGCATGAGCCACGAGTTCCTGGCTTACACAAAGGTTTTTAATATAACTAATTATATTTGACAACCATCTTCAAAGTCATTTGTGTAATCTGATTAACCAGAAATCAGAAAATCCTGCAAAATTGTTATAATTAAATCAGTTAGTATTGAAACCAGTCTGAACAGATAAAGATATCTGAACTAGACATTGTCAAGAAATAAATGTGGATTTGATGTATGACAAAAGAAGAGTTCACATTTGGTGGGAAAAGGTTGGCTTAGTTAATATAAGGGGAATTGGTATGTTTATCTATGAGGAAAGAAAGAAAGATCTTTATTTTATACAAGTCCCAAAATAAACCCTGAATGGATTTAGACAGGTAAATGATTAAACTGCAAAATACATATTTAAGTAAATTAAAATTCTGTAGGAAAATCTAGGAACTTAGATATACAACCTAGGCTGAGCTAGTCAGCTTCTCTGACAAGACAAAAATTACAAATGAACACATAAAGATACTAAAGAACTACATTAAATAAGGAAATAAGATTCAAAACTTTTATATGACAAAAGACATAAGAAAAATGCAATATATTTGAGAAAAAATCATTTGCAAACTTGAAGGATAAGCAAAAATGTAGGCAATGAAATAAAAGCTTTTAAAAATTAAAAGGAAAACCAAACAATCCATTGGAAAAATGGGTAAGAAAATAGGAAATACAGCTTACCAGATAAGAAATCCAAGCAATGAACTTATGAAAATACCATCAAATTTATTTGAGGTCAAATGAATGCCAATAAATTAATGAGATTTTATTTGATTCTAACTCTTCTTGCAAAGACTTCAAAATATTTTTTAAGGAGATAGTTAATGAAAGAATGCATTTATTTTTATTAATTTTAGGTGCAAATGTGCACCACTACATCTTTCTTAAGGAAGCATTTTAGTGTTTTGGTTTTTGTTTTGTTTTGTTCTGTTTTTTTTTTTTGCCTGGTCCTGGGGTTTGAACTCTGGGTCTGGGTGCTGTCCCTAGGCCCCTTTTGCTCAAGGCTAGTGCTCTCCCACTTGAGCCACAGTGCCACATCTGGCTTTTTCTGTGATTAACTGGAGATAAGAGTCTCAGGGACTTTCCTGCCCAGGCTGGCTTTGAACCATGATCCTCAGATCTCAGCCTCCTGAGTAGCTAGGATTATAGGTGTGAGGCATGTTGGTTTTTAAAGCTAAAAACACATGTCCTTGACTTAGTGAAACCAACTCTATCAAGAGAAATGAGGGCACTAGCATATATGGATGCAGATCTAAATGTGCTTATTGAAGAACTATTTGCAGAAGCAAAGACTGTAAACAAGCAATTCCCATGAACAGAGTGAGTGGTAGGGTGCTTCCTGATATATCCCTATGATAAAGTGAGAAATTAATATAGTAGCTAATTAATATGGTAGCTAATTAATTAGGTTCAATCTTTTCAATTGATAAGGATTTCCCTAAGGTAGGGTTTAATGAGAAGGTGAGGGAAGAAGAAAAGCATAAACGTTTTCATTTTGGGCAAGCCATAACCTCTGACACTCCAGATGCATGCACACAGTCACAAACAGGTATGCATATGAGTATGGAATTTCTAAAAATAATTATGGTGAGACATATGAAATGAGAGGGCTTATGGGTGTGTGTGTGTGTGTGTGTGTGTGTGTGTGTGTGTGTGTTGTGTGGGTGGAGTTACCCAATGGAAAGAAATACTGGAAGAAGTCTAATATAACCTAGGGCATATAGTTATATAGAGTTGTGTGAATGTTGGTGTATAGACTTTGGTTTTCTAAGAATTACTGAGCTTTAAACTCAGCGCTTTGAGTTAGCTAGGCGGACGTGCTACTTTTTAAGCTATGCTGTCAACCCTCTGTTGTGATTGGTTTTCTTAAGACTCAAACTCAAGGCCTCACTACCTTGCTTACCTTTTTTGCTCACTGTTGGCACTGTACTGCTTGAGCCATATCTTCAGTTCTGCATTTTTGCTAGTTTATTGGGGATTTTTCTGCTCAGGCTGGCTTCGAATTCTGATTCTCAGATCTCAGCTTCCTGAGTAGCTAGAATGATAGCTGAGAGCTGCAGGTGTCCAGATTATTAACGTTTAAGGTAGGGTCTTGCTTTATGTCCAGACTGCCCTGGATTTTGATCCTATTTGTGCTTCCTCAAATCATTGGGGGACAAGTGCATGTCACTGTGTGTAGCTATTGATTGAGATGGAATCTCCAGAACTTTCTGCCTGGGGTAGCCTTGAACTATAATATCCTGATCTCTGCTTCCCAAGTAGCTAGGATTATAGCTTGAGCCAACTTGCCTGGCTAGATATTTTTTTTAAGTTTTAAGATAAAGCATATAGATTAAACAAGGGACCAGAATTATTGAATAACCGTGTTTCAATATTATTTGTTGGTAATAGGCTATATTACTTCAGGATAATTACTTTATCTTTTGGGGCCCAAATTAGATCAATGGCAAATGATTTCTAGACAACATGGATTACATGATTTCTAAAGAGCTTTCCTGTGTCAGCATTCAAGACTCCCACTTCTTTGCCTGTACATTAAATATTAATCTTGTTAATACACCAAACAATGCAATCTTAATTCAAACTGTAAAATGTCAAAATAAAACCAAGTCAAATCCAGTTAGGTCTAGATTTTGAAAATATGTATTTTATCTTTTGGTTTAATGCCTTTTTCCTGGTCTATTATCATATGAAATCTAACAGCAAATCAAATTTATCCTCCTGTCAACCAGCTTATCCCTCTAAGTTCATTATTCATATTAATGGGTTGACTATTTTCCCATCCCCCCGTCCTGACTTCCTCCAGCTTCTCCAAACTACTCCTCCAGTTTCCCATTGAATTTCTTTTCCTTTCTGTTTTCTTTTCTGGTTCCTAGCCAGGTTTTCCCTCTCTCCCTACTGGATCTGCATTTATCATACCTTACCTCTAAGGTCAGCCTTCCTCATCTTCAAAAGTCCACCCTTCTTCAGGCCTCCCTCTTTTCTATTTTTAAGCAACTTCCACAGGTTGGCCATCTTTCTCCTTTGTGCTGTGATTTCCATGCACTGGTTTGTCCTGTTACTATTGGTATAAATGCACCCTTTCTTCACAAATACTGCTAACTGGTAAGTGTGTTTGTGTGTGTGTGTGTGTGTGTGGGAAGCTTAATGATTAACATCTGTTGAAAACACAATTAATAATGTTGTTGATGAAAGTCAGAAAACAGTGGTGTCATATTTACTGATTTAAATCCATGTCCAGGTTTAGACCAGGTTAGGTAACTATATAAGTTAAACTAAAACCCAAAAACATTGGACACCTACTAAGAAAAGCTGGTAGGTTTCGTAAAGCCAGGAGAACAGCATGTCTTCTTTGTTACACAGCTACAGCCAATTGCCAAATGAAATACAATCAGCTCAAAGTTCAGCAGCTGGAAGTTAAAAGACTTCCATGAAGAGGATGTCAGAGAACTTTCAGAAGTTCTTGTGTTTACTCCCCCATCCCCACCACACAACTGAGAGTGTTAGTTTAACTTGGAAAGTTTGTTTTCATTCATTTGTTTTATTAGTAGAGGCTAAATGATCCATCAACTCAACAATCAAGAAATAAAAAGTCCGGATTGATTAGTTAATACTTGTGAACTCCAGATCTCATGCTTTGTTAGTAGACAATCAGTAGACTGGCTCTGGTGGCTAATGACTGTAATCCTAGCTTCTCGGGAGGCTGAGAAGAGGCCAGCTTGGGCATGAAAGTTTGAGAGACCCCTTCTCAACCCATAATTGGGTATGGTGGTTCCTGCCTGTCATCCCAAACTATACAGGAGGCTGGCACTGGAAGGTTCACGGTATCAGGCTAGCCTGGGCAGAAGAGCCTTTGAGACTCCATCTCCACAGAAAGAAGCTGGATACAGTGGATGACAATGGGAACTTAGTAACAATGGGAAACTTAAAAGTAGGTAGACAGCAGCTCTAGGGCTCTCCATGCCTGGGAGACAGGGAGGTCCTGGCTTAAACAGAACCAGTGAAAACAGGGCTGGAGGCGTGGCCCAGCAATGTCACACCAGCTTAGCAAGTGCAAGGCCTTGGGCTCAAAGCTTAGTGTTGCAAAGAGGAACGAAAAAGAAAAAAAGAGAGGAAGACACAGCCCCGACGTAGGTCTAGATCAACTCTTTTAAGCTTTAAAATGGCTCCCACCCCATCCTCTTTCCTTCCCCACCAAATGGCAGAAATTCCTAGTCTTCATTGGTTCAGACAATGTGAACTTTTTTTTTTTTTTTTGGTGGTCACGTAGCTTGAACTCTGGGCCTGGGCGCTGTCCCTCAGCTCTTTAGCTCAAGGCGGGTGCTCTACCACTTGAGCCACAACACCACTTCTGGTTTTCTGAGTGGTTTATTGGAGATAAGAGTTTCACAGACTTTCCTGCCCCGGTTGGCTTTGAGCCATGACTCTCAGATCTCAGCCTCCTGAGTAGCTATGATTATAGGCGTGAGCCACAGGTACCCGACTCAAAGCGAACATTTTAAAAGCACAAATACTCAGTGGTTTAGAGTGAGAAGTACATGTCATTATCATCCGCTGGAATCCATTATGAGAGAGTTTAATAACTTCTAAATATGAGGTTGCAAACAGGTAGCCCCTAAGACTGAACAAATCTCTCTGCAGAGTGTGTGTGTGTGTGTGTGTGTGTGTGTGTGTGTGTGTGTGTGTGTGTGTATGTATGGTGTTTGGGGGTCCTTTTCCCCTTCCCTTTTTTCCTTTCTCATTCATCTTTCCTTTTTTTTCTTTTGTGAATAGGAAGGACATTTCATAAACAAAATCAGATGTCTCCTTTCTGGCTGCTATTTTGAAATCTGGAGGTTGATGGCAACGTCTAGATGTTTGTGCTGATGGGAAGAACCACATCAAGTGATGCAGGGTCTAGGACATAGGATTTTTCCAAGGACACTCTGTAGATTTATGAATTCTTTGTGAATTAGACATAAGTCACACAGCAGCTAGAGGTAGCTTAACGTGAGTCTGTCATTAAGTCTAATGGGAACTGTTCCCTGGTTAACCCATTTCTTTGGTACTTTTCTACTCACAAAATCACCAGCAAAGACTTAAAGCGTGGTTTTGCAGTGAGAATTCAGGGTAAACATTATCAATCTTTTACAGGTTAGGAAACTGAGGCTCCGAGATTAAGTAACTACTCAAGGGTGGATATCTGCAATTCCTGTCGAACTGATTCAATGATGATGCGTGTTTGAGCTCTTACTATTAACTGCAACTCTAGAAGAAGATAGAAAAAATTATATCTAGGTCTATTGTCTATTATCCCTCAATCTATGTATCTAACATCTATCAGTCTCGATCTCATCTGCCATCTATCCATCGGTGAATCTCTCATTTATCTCTATCTACTTATATGTAGTATCTATCAATATCTATCTCATCTGTCATCTTTCAATTTGCATATCTATCATCTCTCAATATCTGTCTCTGTTTATCTAATCTCTCTCTTTTTTTCTCTCTCTTTCACACACACACTGGCTTGCTCCCTTCTCCTGCTTGGTTTTGCAGGCGATTCACTCTCCAGGGACAGCCTAGATGATTGACATGCACACCTGGTCACTTGAAGACTCCAGCTTGTGGATCGCTGACACCTCCACTGCCCATTGTGGAAACAGTGGGCTCCACGGCGATACCACAGTGTGTATTTTCGCAACAGACAGCCACGTGTAAGAACACAGGCCGTAGGGAATCCCAGCCCTTTGTAACTTCCTCTCCAACGCAGTTCTGGTGAGAAGAGCATCAAACAGAAAGCTCAGAGCCGCTGGGCGGCCTCTGGTCAGCAGGACGCTTAGGAACTCAAGGCTGTAATAAATACCGCAGGTACTTTAGAACTGGCATTAGCAGACGGGGTTCCGGAAGATGGCATCGTGTGCCTTTGGTGACATTAGAGTAATATTCCAGGGGTCTCAGGAAGTCCCTCATCTACTGCCCTGTGATGGCTGAGTATAGTCTTTAGGTGACAAAGACAAAGAACCTTAGGATAAGTAAGAGGGGAGACACTACTCATTCTCCATCCTTTTCCTTCCTGACCTGATGGACACCTGCAGCTCCTGCCAGTGCACATCTGTAAGGAGAGGTGATTCAATTCCCCAAATGACCATGAGCTAGGAAAAGAACTCCTCATGCCCCTTCCCTCCAAAGACACTAGGGGAGAAAGTGGCTTCTTTCTATCAGCCTGTGGATGAAGCAAAGACTCAAGAGCAAAGAGCATTGCTCCAAATGGAGCACCAAGAGTGTCAATTAAAAGGGCTGTTTCAACAAAAGACTCATGAGGAGTGATCAGTATCCTTTCTCCTAATCCAGTTCTTCTGTTTGACACTTTCTAGAAACCAAGGAGAGCCTAGCTTGGGAGTTCATTGATCTCTGCTGTAAACAGAACTGGACAATACCGAGGAGGTTCAAAGGGGGACTCATAAGAAGTATGAAAACTGGGTGGTGGTGGCTCATACCTGTAATCCTAGCTACTCAGTAGGCTGAGATCTGAGGATGGTGGTTCAAAGATAGCCCAGGAAGACAAATGTGAGAAACTCTTATCTCCAACTAACCTGCTAAAAGCTGGAAATAAGAGTATGGCTCAAGTTGTAGAGCAACAGCTTTGAATGGAAAAAGTCAAGCAAGAACTCTGAGTTCAAGCCCCAGTACTGGCTCAGAAAACAAACAAATACAACAGGAAATAAATTTGTCAAATACAATTTGAACATTTGGATTCTAACTCCCCAGTAGATTAGATGATTATCTGGGGCAGCAAATGCTTTCCTACATTCAATGACACTGTTCGGTGTGGATCTCACCAAATCTTTGGAAGCCATGTGGCTTCCGTATTGCTATTATTAAGTGGAAAGAGTTGAGTGATGGGGCCAAGAAATGTCATCTAACAAGACCGGCCACAGCAAGCATGTAGGCTTTAAACCATATTACTAATTTGAGCTAAGAGAGGCAAATAGAGCAATTCAAAAATGTCTGTAACTTTCATAATAATTACTCTTCATAAAGACTTATCTCATTCAGCCACCTGACTTCAAGAAGCTAATGAGAAGTGAAGATCTTCTCTCTAGAAATCCATGTGCACACACATGTACTTGGTTGTAAGTTTCCTGGAATGGCGAGGAGTTCCTTTCTTTATTCCCTCTCTAGGTCCTCTAGCTGGGGTTCTATGAATTGAACTGACAAAAGACAGATTATCTAGAGAAAAGCATAATGATGTATTTAATAGAGTCTTTGTGAAAAATGAAGAGACAGTAAAGTCTGTTTTTATGCTAGGCTTGATGGAGAGTGGAAAGTCACCAACAATCATGGTGGGAGAGAAGCTCATCGGGGAGAGTGGGAAATAAGAGAGATTCTACTGGAGCGCCTCTGTGTCCTTCTGTGTTAGGAGAAAGGGTTGCTTTTTCCTTCCTAGGATGGAGAGGGAACTTTCCACAGGAGGTCCCATTTCATGGGAGATGAAAGAGGTCAAAGAATCTCTCTCTCTGTATGTAATCACACACACACATACACACACATAACCTGTCATGGGGCTTAAACTCAGGGCCTGAGCACTATTTCTGAGCTCTTTCACTCAGGGATAGTGCTCTACCACTTAAAGCTACTGTGTCGCTTCCGGTTTTCTGGTGGCTAATTGGAGATAAGAGTCTCAAAACTTTCCTGCCTGGGCTCGTTTTGAACTGTGATCCTCAGATCTTAGCTTCCTGAGTAGCTACTATGACAGGCATGAGCTACCAGGGTCTGGCTTCCTTCCTGTATTTTTAACTTCTCCAAATTCCATCAGCCTAAAACATGTCAGGGCAATGTGTTCTGATCCCTCTCACTGGAAACCTTTCCAAGGTGGTACATCCATATCCTTTTCTCCAAGGCTTCAGAAAAAAGATGTCATTGAATGAAATTTACCTTCACTTAATGAAATTTACCTTCACTTAAGCTTAAGTGAAATAATGTGAGTCAAACACTGCATGACGCTTAAAATATACCTGGTAAGCAATTACAAATTACTGTTTTTAAAAGTTATTACTTTGGCATGATTCTATATCCATGATAACTCTCAGAAATACTGATTTTAGAACTTGGAGAAGGTAGTCCCTCAATTTTCTACCATATTGAGATAATTTATGGTTAAATATAAAGTTGCTGTTGTGACAGTCCTGGGGCTTGAACTCAGGATCTGGGAGCTCTTTTGTGCTCAAGGCTAGTGCTTTACCACTTGAGCCATAACTTCACTTCTGGCCTTTTAGAGGTTTATTGGAAATAGAAGTATCATAGCCTTTCTTTCCCTGGGCTGAAGCACAATTCTCAGATCT